GAAGTCAAAAATGACATTTAAACTGCGATATCATAATTAATTCAGCTGATATTTAAGTCGAAAGTGGTTTTTTCGAAAAGAAATACTGGTTTATTGTACTGACAATTCGAATGCCTTCCAAAACAGATTGATGCACAAAATTATTTTTTTGTAAAGGTGATGGTGCAGCTCATCCTTTTATATAAATAAATTCTGTATTCGGACCTTTAAATTGGTCAATTAAGTCTTTGAGTTCAAGTTTGGATATTTTGAACCAAAATCGGCCATTCCCTTGACACTGGAGAGCGGGTCGTGACTCATGTCGGGCTCAATTTTGTTTTCTGAAAAGAACCTATGGAGTCATGACCCTTTGCTGTTTTTTCATTTTACGGATATGCCAGTCATTGAAAAGTATTAGGCTCCGCAATATGTGACTATTACGAAGTAAAATTGTCGGAATAATTCGTTTAGCAGATATTTTAGCCAAAAGTCATTTTCTTCGAAATGTTTTATTATTTTGTTGGGTTGACAATTCGAGACTCTAAATTGGTCGAGTAGGCATTTACAACACACGTACCTGATATAGACAGCACACAACGAAACATCTATGGCTCGGAATTAAACGTTCGAGGCGGAGACTTGCGAGTTTGCTCAACGTGCTAACCCCTGAGCCACCGAGGCTTCCGAGCTTGCATAGGCTTATCATTCGTGTATGTTTTATACTCATTACTCAGCTCAACCTTACCTGATGAGTGTGACATTATAGGCAAACCTGTCAGAGGCAAAGCAGAGAAGAAAGTGATCTGTTCAAGCTTCGCTTGTCACAGAAAAAACTGAGTGTGAGCCTTGAGTTGGAATTTCGACTCCATTATCAATGAGGGCTGGGACCTCTATTGGAACAATTTAGGATCAAATTATCAAGTGAAACTCTGCAATCAGCGAAGTGTCTGGAAATCAACCTGAGTCGCAGCATAAGGGAATAGGTCTATCAGGTAGATCCAGGAGCTAAACTACGTCGAGATAATACGTGAATTAACAAGAAGAAGAAATATTTTCTAGCAGAACATGCGAAGAGGCCTCGGTAAAAAGAATTATCCATTTTGTGTAATAAAAGAGGCTTGATTCATTTGAATTACTTGAAAACTGAGAGAACGCTGTGCCTCCTCTTTTTTCTTCTCTTGATCATGAAAAGCTCAACACTTTTATCTTATATATAGTAACTATTGTAGTGATCAATCAAGGATATGTGTTCAGTAAGAATATGAAGTTGCCTGAATGTATTAAGTGTTAATTCTGGAACATCCTGTAGTTACTTGCGATTGATCAAATATCATACCATTTTGTCAGTCCTACTACAGTAAGTGAAACTTCGTTTTAATCATGAAAGTCAAAAACGCAAATTGTTCGCTTCTTATTTAACTCCTAGGTGCTTGCCTTTAGTCCACCTTATCTGAAAATTAACAAGCACAAACAGAAATTAATTGCAAAGCTGGAACTTGCTCGATAGTCAGATAGCATGATAATTAAATAAAATTTGTGAGAGATGCAACCAAGTAGTTAGTTTGGTAACGTCAATTATGCTTCTTTGTTTAAGAATTTGCTGGTGCAATTAACGAACCGTTGGTAAGATGTGCATAGATTCGTCTTCATAACTGTAAAGGATAATGCTCTGAAGACTTTAGTGCCAGATGGGGATTCTTATTAAGCCTGGAGTTGCAATTAAAACTTCCTGATCGGCTGAGAGAGAAAATTAGATTGAACATTTGTTATACTCAAGCCAATATGTTAATGTGAGTTTTAAACTGACTGAGTGTCTAAGGCCCGTATCGTCAGTCGTCCCTACAATTGTAGGGCGCATTTATGGCCTCCTTGATTGTCATACTTCTTTCTCTCCTTCAAATATTTCTAGATTACACTTGTCCCGTGTCAGCGTCAGCGCTCTCCTATTGTGAAGATATGTTTTCTTTTTAAATTGTAGGAAATTTCAGGCTGATAAAACATGATATAACTCAAAAGCAAGCACAATTTGATGCAAATAGATGTTTGTGACATAACCTCAAAATAGAGTTCTGACACCGAGAAGTAGAAAACTATGACAATCAAGGAGGCCATAAAGGCGCCCTACAATTGTAGGGACGACTGACGATACGGCCTTAATAGGAAAATGCTTTTTTGGAAGAATCTCACTATATCGGTAACCTATCTACAGATGATCAGTGTAAGTAGAATTGAGTTGCGAATGCTAATTCCTACATAATAATAGTGACCCGATATTGCAAAACCAAATTCTCCACCTAAGGCTTTAAGCCTCGTTATCTAAAGCTCATCAGCACTGAGCGCGATCTTGATTATTGAGAGAGACGTGCAAATGCATGTTTTACCTAGACATAGGTACAAGGGAGCCTCAACGACAATAAAGTAGACGCTCAGGGTGGTGCAGCAATAGTCCAGTGGAATTAGGACCGGATTTGCGTGTTTCAAGTTGAGTACCTAATTTAAATTTTTATTCAACATTCAAGATAGCGGCACAATGTCTGGCCGGGGAGTGGATAACGAACATACTGATACCCCTCCAATTTTATTCAGCTTTAGGCTGTGCTATAGGTACGCCGCCCTGCTCTCAACTTTCGTCAGGCCTAAGCAATGAACACGCTTTTCTGTCAAGGACCATGTGATATTTTCGAAACGATACTTAATTGACTTGAAGTCTTCAGAAACTACTCGTCAATCAACGGTACAATGGATATAATATTCAAAGTATAGAACACCCAGCTGTACGACATCAAGTTGGCTAATGTCCCCTCGTAACCTACAATCATTCATCACTGTCACGAGTATTGTATAATTATTCCTGCAATTAAACCAAAATGCTTCTCGACACTGTCACGTAAAATCATCTCGACAACCGGAGAAATCATCCAGCTCTTTTCCAATAACTCATATCCGTTAAGCACAGTTTTATGAAAATCTGATTCAATCACATTTCATACGCGTTGGTCTAGAAACAAAAAGTAAATTAGGAACAGTTTAGCAGTCTTTGAGGACAGTCGTGATTGCAGTACATGAGTGCAAGAAAGTGTGACGGTAAATGTAGTATAAATGAAAAGGTATAGTTAATAAGAATCGTATTTGTCAATTTGCAGCAGACCAGTACAGGATACGTAGTTTATGAAAAAGTGACACATAAAATAAGTTTGCATTAAATGTACATATACTAACAGTCTAGATGGCCTATTTCCGATTCGTAAAAAGATGTCGGATTTCAGGAATTCAAGAGTTGAAATCAGATAAGTCTAAGTCTCTTTTGATCAGTAAACAAAATTTCTATAACAGATGAAAAATTGGATTTAGGCGATTGAAATATTGTTCTCCAGCTTGACGAAAATTTCCGGATCCTGTGCTAGGCAGGAACTCAAAACTTTTTGAAAAACTTTTTGACCTTATTCTCTGTTACAGTAAATTTCGCATATACAGGTAGAAAAAAGTACTGAAGGCAGTTTTGTAGTTTGATTCAAGACATACCAAAGCTGTTTCGACGTTATTTTCGTATCTACGTTCGTTTTAGAGATAGAGCCAACTTTTTTTGAGCTTTCTTGCTAGTATGTGGGATTTTCGAGCCAGTTGATTGATAAAATGGTTTTTTGAGCTCCTTACCTCACCCCATAATTGAAGAAAATCCACCGAAATGTAGGAAAAATCTGAACTTTGTGAATGTATTAAGATGCTTCAAAAAATTCATCTTGTGGAAAAGGGTACTTCAAGGCGAGCAAAGCACTAACTTTTTGTTTTTTAGTCTGTAAATGGTAGTTACCAATATACAGGGTGTCTGCGAAAGGGTGTGAAATCTCGAAACTGGAGATATTACAGACCAAAATATGTGAAGACCGAAATACACCTAAGTCTAAAAGTTGATAGTTTGCGAGATACAGGGTGTCAAAGTTACAATTTTATTTTTTATTTCCCCTTATTGCTTGAGAAGTGTTTAAGATTTTGGCATTAAACTCGGTATAGGGAGGTCTTCTAGTATTAAGAACAAGAATCTATTTTTTCATAGCCAAACTTCTAGAAGGCGGCACTTACAGCACTATTTCGGTAAATAACTTATCATCACTTTTTTGTGCTATCCTGTATACGACAATTGACTCATCATCTCATTTTCTCATATTTCCACAGCAAAAAAGGTTCACTTGTTGGAAGTGTCTAAAGCTAATATTTTTCGAGATTGTATTAGTTTTTATCTTTTGGACTGAGGTATCTTTAGATCAATTCACATAGTTTGGTCTATAGTATCTCCAATTTCAAGATTTCCCAACCTTCCGCAGACACCCTGTATAAAGGTATTGTGTACAGGGCGTCCCAGATAAGGATCATCTGCACGGGGATATATCAATATCTGTAGGAGATGCAGCTCAGGCTAAATTATGGAAAAGCTGCGTATTTACATGCCGTTGATAAATTAAAAAAATCAATGGCTTACTGATGTATTTGAAAAAAACACAAATTTGGCCGAATTGTTCTTATATTTGTCTGACTGTATTGTAAGAAGTATTAAAATATTAATGCAACTTTTTTAGTGGCACTTTTTAGACACTACATGATGGTGTTTTTAAATTTTGTGCCCAACGTTTCCTTTTTGTGAAACCATTATCAACTTTATTTTTCTGTATAGTCCGAAAAAAATATCTAATATCATTTTTTATACGAATTCAACGATGTTTCACATGTTTATTTCCTTGGCTATAAGGAAAAATGCGTCTTTTCTGGTTTGAAGTTTTTGCTGACAGCTCTGGGCATAAAAATTGAAGGCTATATATATATTCTTCATTTTTTCCACAAACTTATTGTCAATGTATGCATGATGTTGCGAAGAAAAGCTCTGTCAAATTTGAAAATTTGTATGTTAGTTTTTTGGATAAGACAATCTAAATGTGTAGAATACGAAGTTTGGACATTTTCAAAACTTTGGATATGATCCAGCATTTTTCGCACTGTTTCGATTTCCAAAAGTGAAGTAACCTTACCTACCATGACGCCGCAACACGATATCTTCCAAATTTTACCATAACGGAGCAGCCGTTTCTGATAATATAAGGATAGAATAAAAGACTTGTAGACAGAGATCAGTAGTAAATAGGTATATGTTATTGATTGAAAACATGAAAAAATATATGAGTTGAAACTGCCAAATTAGGTTACAATACTTCGTTGCGGGTGAAGTAACTGAGCCTTATTTTTACACTTCTGTGATTCGTGATTTTTTTGTTACAGGGCTAGAGAGTGTATACAGTATCAATAATTCTTATTCGGAAACTCTTCAGTTTTCGAATAAGGCAAATTGAAAAAATAGGAAAACACGAATTTTTAAAAAAATTATTAACATTAAATGAATCGAAGCAGCTTTCCAAGGTGACGTTCCCGCAAAAACCAAACTGCTGATTTCGCTATTACTGTTAGTTGTTGTATCTTTGATAGCCCTTGAGCCAAAAAAATGCTCTTCAGTTTTCTGACAAAAAGCAGTTATTCTCAACTAAGTACTTTCAGTAATTGAGTTAAAAAAATATTCAGCCTACCTGTCTATCCGCCGTCTTCGCCATATGAGATCTCAATGGGCTTTCGGTTATTCGTCTGCCATATATTGTTTTACAGCTTTGCCATCTGTTATGGCTTTACCAGTCAAGTTAACTGTTCTCCCAAGATCTAGCTGTATATAAGATAGTCTGAAAATATTCTGACAAAACAATGACGGTGACATTTGTCCTGTGTGAAGAAAGGTTAACGGTAATGGTGCTTTTTGTTGGCCTATTACGTATGGGATCACGATTATCATGCATGCATGTAGTAGGCATATATATACTGGACATGTGAATGGAATACGGCTCATACGGGCCTAATATGTTATGATACTGGGAAGACGGGTTACGTGCATTGGCGTACAGTGAGAGCAATACGCCAGGATCCATCAAACATCATACCTAAAATACGAGGATTGCACTTGCAGATACTTATTCGATTTTGTTGACAGTAACAAAGGTGATCCTATTAGGCAATGCTTACAAAGTGTTAACTTTATGTCTTAAACTGTTTTGACGTGATGGCCTTCTTGTTTATTGATGAGGAGGGTAATCTTGGCTGACTGGTTAATGTGCATAATAGGCAAACTCTTGAGGTTGCAGCCGCAATCGGGTAAGAAAGAACATTTGTTCTTTTCCAGTAATTCCAGTAGTTCTTGAAATGTACGTTTTAGACCCTAAAAATATATCCTAATAAAGCATGGTCTCAGAACATACTGCTCATATACCTTTAAAGTATATGCTCTTGACGAACGATGTAAGAATATGCTATTTAAGAAGATTCGGAACAGCAATGTTTATAGCACATTCACATAAGGGACTGATCTAGTTGGTCACATGCTAAGAATATTCATCTTTAGGACATGCCAATTACAAAATCTTTGTCGTCACAGTAATACTCCACCGGGTAAAGGGATATCCATGTCCACGTGTGAAGCACATTCCACCAGAAACCATCAGGTGAATTTTTCAGCATATCGCGCATGTGCGTGAGTCCGAGTGACCAATGGCATAGTGGCAATCCGAAACTTACCGGCTACCATTTTGTATTATTCCATATATGTGCGTACCTAACATAGAGTGCATCGCGAGTGTTTCCAAGTGGTGTGTGGCAGAAAATATAAATCGTGACTCTACAATAAAAATAATGTTTAATAAGTTGTTACCGAATACAACAACTTCTTTGCTTCATATACCTAGCAAATAAAGGAATTTCAACTGTTTCTTCGTTAAGCTGGCCCTACGTGGCCCCCAGCAATATCAGCCTATTAAAAAAATTTTAAGAATTCTTACGGTAATAAGATTATTCAAGTAAGCAACAGGCGATATTTGCCATAGAGGAGCGTTTTCCAGCAGTCCGACAAAATATTTACTAGAAGGCGATCCCGGTTAAAAAAGAGCAACGGTGTTAGAAGGGATTAGGTTGAAAAATGAAACAAATCAAATTTACCTTTATTGCATGGGGTTTAGGGGCAGAGGGATCAACCCTAGTAGGTTCGATGGACCCGGCGCAAGTAAAGCAGGTCACCCCTTCAGAATGCATAGTACAGGATACGAATGCAGAACCAGCATTTGTAGAGTTTAGGTGTAGCGTAAATGGCAGACTTGCCTGTAGAAATTATTGCTTTAGACTTGAATCCTGCCATTACAACAAACTGCTGTGGCTCTTTGAAACTTTACTTTATTCAACGATTATAAAAAGGTTGCGATGTGTTTGTTTCTACTTTCATTTCAAAGGATTACATGAAGAATTGTTCGTTGTACCTGTAAAAGGCCACCATTGTGCCCGAAACGTAAACAGTATCTCAAGCCAGGCAAATATGGAGGATTGTATAGGACGGATTAAAATAACTACCGAAGTGGAATTTTACAGTAAAGTCAGTTTTCAATGAGAAGATTTTTTGAAGAAGAAAAACAATAAGAAAAAAGTAATTACACGCTCTAGTCTATAAGAAAGGCAGAATATTCTCAAAAAGATCATAAAAATGCAGATAAAGTGCTTTTTTTATCATGAATTGTTTGTCACTCATCACACCATGGAACAATCACATGAAAAGCATTAAGAATAAATACTCCTTCAAGCAGACCGTGAAATAAGGTATGTTCAACCGTTAAAACATGCAATTCCGAATATATATCGATTCATTCCCTGAGTAACCCTATGCCTGAAACATGACACCTACACTCGACCTATGAACCATGTATCCATCGCATTGTGAATTTTTGCAAAAAATCATTTACATTTTTGTATCGGTATTTTATGTCGACTATTTGAAAAGCGGTAAAATTGTAAGAGGGATGCTCTACTATTTTATATGAAAGAATAATATATTAACTAAACTCCATTCTAAACTATTATTACTGATTTCAACCCACTTGACGCTATTCTTAAAGCATCCCTCTACCGGACAATAAGTGCAACCAAGAGTGCATTGAAATTCTATAATTGAATGCTCCAGTCCACAAGCGCTCTGCAACCAGCATCACACTAACCTGAAACTGGACAAGCTACTTCCATCTCTGCGGCACTGCGAGCAGCTGCACACTGAATACCGCGAGTACTGTGAGTCATAATCGCTGTGAACCGTAGATGGCGCATATCTCGTTCTAGTCCACCTTTCGGCCGTCATCACTGTCCATGTTCGATGCAGGAAAAGCCACACCTTGCTGCCTTGCATCACAGCTTCGGACTCGCCACCTGCTGTCGAAAAGCTGCGGATGCTGCTTGACTGGTTGCCCATGTTGCAGGAGCTACATTACACAGGAGGCACTTGCCTGAAATACAAGGAAAACACAATGAGCTTCCTAGCTTTTCCAGTGCCATACCTTTTGAACGGAATGTTCCATATATTACCACACATTGAAAAAAATAATATTATTGGTATGATAGCGTTTTGAGTTACGAGCGGTTCAGTGTACAGAACCGTTCAACCATGGCAGCCCGCCAGTCTGCCATTTTCACAGGGTTATTTAGTACTAATAAGGGCTTCAAAGTTAGGCATTCAATGATCCTCCATTCCATTATGGAATGTTTGGGTGAAGGATGGATATCATCTGACCAAGTAACTTAGGTGCTTGATAACGTTTTTCTGAAACTGAAAGTGTTCTAAGTGTCTAACTGTCTACCTGCTCACCTACTGAAAGAGCCTAACACCACTCAAAATACCAGCGAGTCTGCTCCACGTCTCCAAAGAGATGGTTATTCTTAGAACTATGTTGTCCTGAAAATTTTTCAAATGCCGTACCGGTAACAGTTTGTTTAATAACTTTGAATGTCACTGTATAATTATAGGAAATTTTTGATAGCAGAGTAATTACGTTTTTTATACCTTAATGTCTCCATTATGATATTTTTGAAAATCGTACTCTTTCAGCTGACAAAAATCAATTCTTCTTTGATTCGAGCCACTTTTCGGAAAAACAGTTTTTGTTTCGGGGGTATTAATAATATGCACCTAGGTATATTAATTTGAATAACAGGATCATAATCAGCATCCCGAAAGTACTGGAGCTTGTATAACGTTTTAGGCGGACTCTAAATCGATAAGACTATTATTGGAGCAACGATGTTTTTTCACAAAAACGCGCTAGTTTCAGGAAATTATGGGTGAGCACATTTTTCAACCAAACGGTCAGGAATTCCCAAAATACTATTTTCAACTTTTTTCAACCTGTGGGCAGCATTGCGATAGGGTTAGTGCGTTCGTAGTAGCTCAAATGAGTTGTGCTCCATGATCAATATTATGTGAGACCTTAACTATGCCCCTTGATACCTAATTCCCAATTTTCAAGGAGATGGCGCTCTTGCAATCGCGTGCCATATGTTTCGCTACCCTCTTTCTTTTCGGTACTCGTGCATAAATAGTATGCAGTCAAATTTTGATTGGATTATATAAGGTGTTCCTTAGTAACATGCTATTAACATACAAGGAGGTGATTTTAGTCCCATTTTAAGAAAAAAAGATTAGATATGAACGTAAGCCATTAAAGGTCTTAACCTTTGGGACAGGGCAGTGAAGTTATCACAAAGAAATCTGCATTTTATAATAACTGTGATTCTAACTTAGATACCTTTATGAAATTCGGTACACACCTTCAAGGTACATTTTCTTATATACAAACAATTTTAATACTCCTACCAGTGGCATCCGAGCGGGTCTTGCATTGAATATTTTTGGAGAATAAAAATTGTACGCCAAAGCTTTCTCTTTAAACAAACACCATTTTTGAAATCTTCATAGGGAAAGAAGAAGAAGATAAGAATATTTTACTCTAGGGTCAGATCTGTGCGGAAATCGTCTTCTTTCCACTTTTTCAAGCCGTTGAGTTCATTTGACATGAGCACGGAACTTCCAATAAAAATAATATTTTTTAAAATTCTCATCCATTTTTGAACAGATTTGATCACTTGATTTTATTTTAGCTGATGCACAAACGATTTTCGCACACTAGCGACCGCATCAGGTTGGAGTAAAGTGATTTTTATTTTTCTAAACGAAAACCAGTCTCAAATTTGCTCAGAAATAAAATATGGCCTTTATTTAAAGAGAAAGCGATGGCGCATCATAATTCCTCCAAAATTACTCAATGCAAAACACGGCGCCACTGATAAAAATAATATAATTGTTCGTGCATCAGAATATGCACCCTGCTTGCATAGATGTGTACCAAATTTCGATTTATATCATTAAGAATGAAGAGATCAGCAATAGTCACAATTATTATAGAATGCAGATTTTTTCCGTAAAACTTTACCACCCTGTGTTTCAAAAGTTAAGATGCTGAGGACATATGTTCATATGTTTTTTTTTCTCAAGATGGGTCCAGGAATCACCTCCTTGAACATACAACATCATTGAGGTACACCCTGTACATAGTGTGTTCTTCGGAAGTTATTTCAGGAAATCCGATTTTTAGTATCGTCACCAAAAATCAGTAACTTCCGTCAGTTTGTCTGTCTGTCGGTCAGTCCGGTAATTATTGGCCCCTCTTTAATTTGGAGAGTACTGCTTGGATTTGGAGGAAAGACTCACACAAGTTACTACTCCGCCAAGGATCGAAAAGCTTTGTAGTTTTTGAAAATCCGTCTGGTGGCAGCGTAGATAGATGCCAAAAGCATAAAAATAGAAATCGCTCAAACGAAGTTGTTTGATGTTTCGTAGGATCCTGATGATTTTTAAAAAGTTTTTAGGGGTTTGTAGGGGGATGGGGGAGGATATTACTTAATTTTTTGATGTTGGTATATTTATACGCTCCCAACCCCGGTAATTCACCTATTATAATTTTTCACACATCATAGGTTGTCCCGTACATTTGTCTTTAAAACTTATAATGGTAGAGACAGGTCTTTGATATTGGGGATGTTCGATACGATCCGATATTTAGATACTTTTGTCTCCGATACCCGATATTTTAGATCGATATTTTTATATAAGATACTTGCGTGTATCGATACATTTCGCGGGTATCGTTGTCTTTCGATCCGGACTGTGTTACAAAGAGTGACTAACTTCAATTTACTTTCCTTCTTTAGGCAATTTTTTTTTGATTAGAGGTTCTGGTTGACCTTGAGTGACAGAGTTGTCACAGCATGAGGACGGATTTTCATACATAGTGGAAATTGGCCATTACGATTTGCCAAAATCAGCAATGCAAAAAAAAAGCTGCTACAAGATAAAAACTGAAAGACAAAAAAATCCCTTTTTCACCATTTGTGCCAAAATTATCTATTTTCCATGGTCTGGCAACTCAGTTTCTTCTTCGAATTTTGATGAGTTCCTGCGGCAATTCAGTTTAAATTTGTTCGGTTTCGGGCTTCTGAGAATCACACACATGTGACATTGTTTTGTAATTTCCCCAGTATTGATTCATTGAATATTATAATTCAAAATAAAACATCATTAGGTGTTGTGATATCGATGCCTCCTGTAAGAAGTGATTTACGGAGCTATTTTGTAAAATAGAGTTTAGGTGGGATATGCAAGTTATGCAATTGTGAGGTTAAGACTTCAGGAAACGCGACCAACTTAAAGACAAACATCTAACCCGAAGACGTCAGAAATATTACATTTCTGCATTAAAGAGAAACGTAACCGAAAATAAGGTAATAACTAAGAATTACGATATTCTAGATATCAATTTGGGACTATACCAGTTGTTTCAGAAATATAATTACCTACCAAAAATGCAGATACAAAATATAAATAATTTTAATGAAATTGTTCAGTTTGTTTGAAATAAAGTACTTGCACAATTTGTAATGTCTGATGGATATTACAATATGAAACTGTTGGGTTTTGCATTTAAAGCTTATACTTTTTTAAACTGTTCAAGAATGTGCACTAAATTTTATAGAAAACTTGCAGTTTGTCTTATACAATCATATATTCACCTATACTAAATGCAATGCTTTCATATAGAATCATAGGAACCCTAATTTATAACACTGTTTTGAGACTAATGATGATTTACCTATCACTGATGGTACTGAATCTCCAGGATTGCCAACTACTCCATTTACTTTGTCAGCGTCTGATTAGCACAACAAATAAATCTTGTCGACAGTCTTCAATTACGAAAGCTTTTTCATCCATTAGACAAAATGTAGAATATGTAACAGTATATCCAGTATTTAATGTAAATTTATTTTTGTTTTAATTTTTATAAGTATTTTATTGCAGAAGGTGGATCGAAACCTGCAAAAATCACAAATGCAATACTTTTTATGATTGCAACTTAACTTTAAATGCAACAGAAAAGGGTGGATTTAGGTTTCTTATGAAAACACTTGCTCCTTTCTACCAAATACCAGGACGTAAGAAAATTACCGAGCTGATGGATGGAAAATTTGACTTTTTAGCAGAAATCGACAAACAACAACTTTAAGAAGTATCTCACATCGCACTTACTATAGATATGTGGACTGAAACTATGACTACAACAAGTTCTTGGAGTTACAGGTAATTTCTTATTTCAAAACAAATTATGTTCAGTTACAATAGGTGTATTTGAACTCGATCAAAGTAACACCGCACATTATTTAAGCGAACGTATATCATCTTTGTGATCAATGGAAAATACCTTTGTCTAAAGTTACAGATATTGTCACTGATAAGGGTGCAAATATTGTTAAGGCTGTGTGTGATGTTTTTGGTAAAAATAAACATTTGCCATGTTTCGCACATACACCTGATTTAGTCGCGTCAAAAATTACTGACCATGTTGAACCTATAAAAGTTATTATAGAAAAAATCAAAAAAATTGTTACATATTTCAAACAAAGTGTTGCAGCATCAGATCAATTAAGAAAAGTGCTAGAGCATCAAAACGCCCTTAGACTAATTCAATCAGTGCCAACCAGATGGAATTCAAAACATTTTATGTTAGAGCGATTTGTTAAACTCCATGAATATGTGGCTGCTATTTTAATAAGAAATCCCAAGTCTACAGAAATCTTAAGTGCTTTAGAATTGGAAACAGTAAAAGAGGTTTTAAATGTTTTAGCCCCAGTAGAGGCAGTTTCTAGAGAGATGTGTCGGGAGAAATATTTAACCTGCAGTAAAGTTATACCCATTGTGAAGTGCATCTTGAAAAAAAATTAAAATTTTACTCCATCAACAACAGAGGCTTTAGCTCTTAAGACACCAACACTCGAGGAACTTTTAAAACATTTTGGGAGCATCGAGCAGATTAAACTTTTAGCTGTCCCAAATATCCTAGGCTCTCGTTTTAAATGAATGCACTTCAACAGTCCAATTTCTTGTGCTAATGCAGTCATCTTCCTGAATCAATCATTTCAGTTGCGCAAGAAATATACAGAAAAGGCAGGGCAAAATCAAATTAATATTCTTGAAAAATCTGACAGTGTTTGGGCCTACCATGAAAAACTAACCCAAAATCATACAGATAAATATGATGATACCAAATCAGATATTGATCTTGAGCTACAACTGTATTTAAATAGTCCTACTATGCCCCTAAATTCGGATCCCTTTTTGTACTGGAATAGCTCAAGTTCATCCTCAAAGGTATTTAAAGAACTGGCTAATAAATACCTCTATCTTGTTGGGACATCAGTTCCCTCAGAAGCCGGCAATATACTCTGCCAAACCCGAAACAGATTATCTGGTGATCGAATGTCAAAACTATTATTCTTACATTCGATAAGTGCTATTTTTTGTGAACTTATTTGACAATCGCCATTCTATTCGTCATTGTCTATCAGAGCGGTCCGTAGGACCTTTGCTCTTGGTTGAAGTCTTGTAAGTCAGTAGGTCTGTCAGGTCTGGTTGCCCAGATACCAAACAAAGTCAGGGAGAAAGAAGGGAAGAAGAAAGGAAGGAAGGAAGGAGGGAGAGCAAAGAAAAAAGAAGTGCATCAATTTGAGGGGTGCCTTGGCATTGCTAGTTAGTATCCGGCAATTTTAAATTGATCCTAAAATTAATTTTGGGATTGGTTGTTAAAGAAAAAATATAATTTTGGTTGGACCTAAAGTCGCACGATTTAATTTTGTTCACAGTGCGAGTCGCGGCCTTGTGTGCTTGCGAACTTGCTCGACTGTATAATCTAAGACTCGCCCAACAAACGGTTGTTATGCTATTCCGCTTAACTATAACGTAGCTGCGGTTGTTGTTTGATGTAGTCCCTTAGGTAAGGGGACAATCGTCATGCAGTTGAAATTAGTGACGTTATTTAGAGGGTTGTAAAAAAAGCAACTTCGATTTTCGGTAGTGTATAGTGTATGCTCCGTATCGAAAGGTATCGACACTCATGGGATCGATATTTTTATTCCGATATTTTAATGGATCGATACCTAATTAAACGATACAAATCGATACTTGGTATCAATATTTTACGTGGATCGGAACATCCCTATTTGATATGCATCTGCTGCTGCTATCTGGGCGGGGGTGTGTGGACGCCGCGAATGACGAAATGAGAAGTGCTAACGTTGCGAGATAGACGATAACTACGGCAAGAGTATTACGTACGAGTATCTTGAAAAGTGTCTTTATATCGACATTGACATTATACTGTTTTTTTTGTCACCATGTAGGTTTTTCTACAAGATGTTAACTTTTCACTTAGTTGTACGTGTTGCCTAAACGTCGTGAGGCTTCAGTTGTCAATGCTGGTCTCTGATGTGATGTAAAATCTGCTTCAGAGATGGCATTACTGGAGGTCTAAGATGTATGTGTTGATGATAGTTCCATTGGATTCTTGTATCAAATACACTTAATTGAGGTAAAAATTAGTTGCGCATACACTTTTTCTTATCCATTCTGGATATTAAACATGCAAATTTTCTGAATTTCAAGAATGACGGAGATAAGAAATAATTGTATTCACTGTACATTGTCGAATTACAAGCTATATAGATGCTAACAACAATTACACACAACGCGGGCGCGGTGATGATTTCCCGTAATTCTTCTGAAACTTTTTTGTAATTTATAACTTTGAACATAACCTGTCTTCAGAAAGGACAACATATAAATAGCCCGTCGGCACAGCTAATAAATATACTTCATTGGCAGCATATTCACTAATGATTTTCTCGCACAGCTAGTATCACTGATTTTATACACATGCAGACGAATACACATGATCATCCAGATGCGATCTTGCTATTCAACCAACTTTCTTCTCAGAGATAAAAGCTGCAGACACAGATCACTCGGCCTCACAACGCATATGCAACCAACAATGCGTTCAAAGATGGACGTTCACAACGATCCTAGGGAGCACACGTGAGTTGACTGTTTGCGCACTAAGAATTACCTAGTCTGCAAGATGCTTAGGTTTTTTGACGTTCCTGACCTTTTATAGGATTTTTACATAATACCCGTGCCGGTCGGGCAGTGAAAGAGTGTTTATGGAATAATTGTAGGTGCTCATCTTACTGACTTGACCCATTTAATGTCTCTCTTATACACGTGTTCATAACTCATTTTTTCTCAGAGGGCTTAACCTACGCTAAACTTACTTCTTTACGAACTAATGACGTCGTTGCGTAGGAGGTGAAGAGTCAACGTACTTGACGCCATTTGTTAGCTTTCCTTGCATGCCTTGCAAGAGAGTTCGAGTCTTGAGTAACCGTGCGGATTCAAAATTATGAGATGTTTGAGATACTACGGATGGACTGAAACTATAAGCATTAGGTCAAGCCAGGCACAGTGTAACAGGAGTCATCCTTTATAGTATCCTAATACAATTACAGCAAGCGACGCCATGCTGCATTTCTAATGGCTCTCCTTTCTGGGACAAACTGCAGCCGACTCAGCAACTTTTTTATCGCTAGTGCCCCAGTGACACTCACCGGTACCTTAGGCCAGTGCCTCTTATCTACATCGCAAGTTAGAGATGAGAGTCATACTTTCCAGATATATCCAACGACAGTGCATTCAGCGCTCCTGTTGAATTAATGAATGAGAAAGCGGATACCTTAGCATAGCACACGGTCCGCGCCGTTTAGTGCTGAACTCGCTCTGCGACACGCTGCCAGAATATCCGCTTACCACTGGCTAGCCGCGGTACAACAGGTCACCATAGCTTGTCCAAATACATTTACTCAGCTATGCTCTCATGGAGATACACAAGGTTTTTAGGAGACGGTTTTGAAAATTTTACAATTCGGTGTTACCTTGAAATCAAGTGAGGGCTTGAGTTCACGCGGAGGCGCATATCATCTGTTACGTGGAGGTATCGACGAGGCTTTCTAAGCTACATAATTTGCCGGCGAGTAAACCAATCATCGGGTCTTCCTGTGCCTCCAGCCCAAAGCTAGCTTTTCTTATTACAAGTGCGCTCCAATATTTTTCACGTCCTCTAGAATACTATAAATCAGGCACACTGTGGTGGTGTCCAGCATTATGGATCCTATAGCTCCATATTGACCAGCAGCACAAGGTGTATGCATCAGCGATTTTGCTTTACGCCGCAGCGTATGGACTGCACGGTTGGGTTAGTTATTTATGACTGGATCAACCAGGATCCCCCACTGCGACTCATTGGTCCATTGTAGCTTATACCTCCTAGTAACTGGGACCTTCTATGGAAGTCTATGAGCGTATTCAGAGAAATATCTTCAAGGTCCTCTCTTGGAGCAAACGTCCTTTACTTTTATTGTGCTAGGCTCTGGCAATTGCAGCGCATCTGCACAAGACATGCCCAACAATTCCATCCCCCTGCAAAGAGTGGTTTCCAGTTCCAGCAAAGCTTTACGGATATTCCCATTTAGGTACATCAGTTTGATAAAAAAGGTATCATTCATTCAACAGTAAATGTTTTCTGACATTTAGATTATTCCTTGCTAATGATAAGTTCATGGCGTTATACCAGTACTTGAGCATAAACGCGTTCAAGCGAAAGCCTCGTAAAACAACAATCCTATGTAAGAAAGTAAATACACAATTAACGACATTTTCGCTTATAATGGCTAAACCATATCTAGGGTTATAAAACAACACCTGTTTTGTAGAACAATATTTGCTACAAAAAAGTATCTTATGTTTCTCCGTCTCCTTGATGATTTTTGAGGTACAAGGACTAGTCTTACCATATTAGACGAAAATACCCCTGGTTTGCGAAATAATTCTGGTTTTATTGCTGCAAGTTATTCAAGGGGGTATTCAAAACATGGACGCATAAGACGGGTACACCAATTTTTGTGGGAAAATTTTTTATTCGACAAAAAATAATGAGAAAACATGTTTTTTGGGATTAAATTGAAAGTGTTGGCAGAAACGGAAAAACTCTTCAAATAAGACTTTTAAGTACTTAAGAGACCTACAAAATGAGACCACATCTAAAAAGATCCGACTAATACCAAAAAAGTTATGTACGAAAACCGAGGCAAACTGCAAGTTTTGGCATTTGTTGGTAATGCGACGGTCGTTTCTCGCAGATATTTGAAATTATCCAAAAACGAAATTGGAGTAGATTGGTCAAGAGGTTTTTGAGAAGTTCTAATGGTTTATCCTTGTTTTCCGGCCCTCACTACTAGTTTATTGAGCCACATACAGGGTTAGTTCAAAGTGCATTTCATAACAAAATATACTGGCTTACCTTGCTGATATGAATCGCAAACCATTCCGAAAGACAAATGTTATTTTTATGCCAAAAAGTATGGGTTACGTTTTTTCTTCTAAACAAACTCAATAATTTCGTATTTCTGAGTAAATTCGCAACAAAAGATGATAGATACATCCGCTTTGTTTTAAAATATGTATAGTAACGTATGTTTTTCTTATATCGTAGCGCATTTGTTCAATTACTCACAAATACGAAATGACTGGACTTGCTTAGAAGAACGAACGTAACCCTTGTTTTTCGCATCAAAATAACATTTATCTTTCGGAACAGCTTGTGATTCATATGGGCAATGTAAACACGTGTATTTTGCTATTAAATGCTCTTTGAACGAAGTCTGAATATTGCTCAATAAAATAGAAGTGATGGCCGGAAAACATGTGTTTTGGGATAAACAATTAGGAATTCTCAAGAAACTACTTGACCAATATACTCCAATTTTGTAGTTGTTATTTCAAAGTATGAATCCTACAGATTTGAAGAATTTCAAGTAGTTGCGTGAAATCATCGTCGCATTACCAACAAGTGAAAAAAACCTGCATTTTGCCTCGTTTTTCGGTCATAACATTTTTGCTACTAGTCGGATCTCTTTACGTGTGGTCTCATTTGGTAGGTCTCATAATATGCCTAGAAGTTTTATATGAAGAGTTTTTTCGTTCTTGTCAACCATTTCGATTGAATCCCAAATAGCACGTTTTCTCATTCTTTGTTGTCAAATAAAGTTTTCCCACAAAAATTGGTGTACCCATTTTAAGCGTCCATGTTCCTTGAACAACTTGCACCAATAAAACCAGACTTTACAATTATTTCGAGGAAATTTACTAATATGATTAGACTAGACTGAAAGTTAAAAACAGCCGAAACATCTGCATCACAGAACGGCGCGTACGTGAGTAACGTTGTGGTCAACTGATGGAGCTCGACAAGGTAGAAGATGCTACGTACGTTGACAAATCATTCGTTTCTCATTCGTTTTCAAGTTTATCAATTTATCAAGTGGCACCAGACATCCATAATAGCCAAATAAATAGGCAGCAGTGCGGGTAGTAGTGGTAAAGGTTATGAGTCTACTAATCAGTCGCAACCCCAAGATAATTTTCTCTTTAGTGTTGATGTTATATTGTGCGGATCTCTAAGGCGGGGCCAGAATGTGTATATGTTGCATGCACCTGTGGCATGCGTTCTCTACCCGGTATCCCCCTCTAGCCCCACAGTACCCATTGGTGTTTGGACTTTAGGCCTTCGTAGTGGTTTGAGTATAAAATAGACTAAAGACAATCAACAGCAATAATTTAATTTATATAATAGACCTTGATTACTTGTAAACAATAATAACTAGTTAGATTTAAAATTCTGTGCTCAATAAATCAAAGAGATTATACATGAATGCACACCAGGGGAAAAAGATTTGACTTATTCTTAGCGGAGTGCGGCAAAGATGGTGCGATCTCTCAGACTTGTGAAAAAAGAATTGAATTTAATCCAATTTTGTGTAAATCTTATTTCCTACTAAAATAATTTACAGCATCGCAGTGTGCTGCGGGTTATTCATTATAAATGTTTATGGCGACAATATAAATTATTATGACCAATAAACTCATCGGTTTTTAGTACACTGACTCTCGCACCTTATGCTAATTTATAGAGAGCTATTTAATATTTTAGCGCCTGTAATCTTGTCAAGTCGTTAAACTCCATAATGAGTTAAGTTACTTAAGAGCCGTCTTCCCTTGCGAGAGTATTCTGTGTGCAACTCAATGTGATTTGATATGCTGATATAATATTTTTATTATATTCACAAACTTTGACCCAAGCCTGCCTAAGCATAGTCCTCTCCGTTTCCTATAACTGAATACTGTCAATATTCAAAAGCTGCGTGTGAAGTGTTGCTCTAAGAAATCAGCTTTAGATGATAGAAAGACCTTTAAAATCAGATCTCAGGCAACTCTGAAAGAGAGAGAGCTTTAGATGTGGTTACGAATTTCCAGAAGTTAAGGGTTTTGTAGACATTTCTCGAGGCTTGAGTGGTGTTTGAGCAAAGATCTCTCCTTGGAAACAATAAAGCAATATCGCTCCTTTAAGGAACGTTCGAGGGAGGACTTGACATTTGCAATTTACAGTAGGCAACAGTAGCTGTCATCGATGCCAAAAAGATTTTACTTTGCTGGCCGTATCTATTTGGCATTTTGATGACAAATTTATGGCGGTTTGGTTTTTTCATGCTAAATACTACAAAACAATCAATAGTGATATTTACTTTCTGGAATTTGCTGTCAACGGCTATTCAAATGGCTTAGTTCTTGTATACATAATCAGCATGACATACGTGAAATATTTGTGGTAGCTAGACGTTCAGCGGCGTCTGTATAAGTTTGAACCATCCGATCATGCGTATTAGTTTAATTCAATTCTCAGGGCTTGTACGGTTCCTTGTGCGTCTTCTGGAGTATACAGGGTTTTTAAATGAGGGTAAAGTTGCGTATTCGGGTAGGTGACAAAATGCTGCTTAGAAAGTTTGAAAATTCAATGTACCACTTGAGAGACGCAGTGGGATTTCAAAATAAATTGCACATTAACATTGCCACTTTTTCTCCTCCACAAGAAGGCATAATTAAAATTTCAATATGATGTTCCAGCTCTTGTCCTCCAGCATCAACTTTATTTTTTCTTATAGGCGCCATATTCGATTTTTGCACAGATGGATAGACTTTTTAATTCTCATTCCAAAAATGTATGATACGTCATGTTGCCAAACCTCAGTCATTTCACATACAGCAGGCCTTGAAATTATCAGACAGACGTTTGTTTCGCCTACCAAATTTATCCCAAAATCACTTTTATTTTTTCCTGACATTATCTGAGAAGGGATTCCAGACTAAGTTGTATGTTAACATTGCCACTTTTTCTCCCTTACAAGATTAGAATTTCTATATAACGTTTCGTGTCCTCCAGCATTAACTTTCCTTGTAGATGCCATATTGGATTCTTGCGGAGATAGAGCTTCTAATCTTGATTTGATATGTCATACATTGACATTGCCATAACTGTTATTCCAAAAAAATAGAATTTCTTAGGTAGGCTTTGAAATTATCCGATTTCACCTCAAATTGAACATAGCAACATAGTTTGGAAGACTGAGAAGAAGAGAAATAAATCGAGCAGTCGCAGCAGAAAAGAAGAGTCAGGTTTTGCCTACAAAATAATGGACATCATTTTAAAAGTCTGCTCTGATTCACCTCTGCTTATTTATGATTATTATCAATGAAATTTTCATTTTGTGTTCAGGTTTTACCATAACCTTTATTTCCTTGTAATTTTCATCGAACAACAAACTCAAGGTCAATAAGAAAATACATGCCTGAATTTAGGACTGAAAAAAATTTCAATATAGAGTCCATATTATTTTAAAATCCCATCTTAAATAAGGTCAGGAAAACATTAAAGTGATTTTGGGATAAATCTGGTATGCGAAACAAATGACTATCTGATAATTTCAAGGCCTACTTAGGAAATTCTGCTTTTTAAGGTCTGGAAATGTCGATGTATATATTATACATTTTTGGCATATAATTAAAAAAGGCACAATGTCATATGGAAATTCTAGTTATTTCTCCTTATATAGTACGTCGTATTTATTTTGATATTCCACTACAAATAAAGTCAGGAGAAAATTAAAACGATTTTGAGAAAATTCGGCTTTTTCCATCCCTTTCCGGTAGAACTTTAAATTTCGAAACTTTCTAAGTGGCATTTTGTTGATTACTAAAATATGCAACTCTGCCCTCATTTGAGCGACTCCATATCTCTTACAGCTTCCGAGATCCTAATGGTGAGGGTCGAACTTTAGTTAAGCGAAAGCTTATCTGCATACGGTGCACGCGAATCATGTTGATATCTATAATGATCAACAATTTTTGAAAAGGTGCATATTTTCAAATGTCACCGTTTTGGAAGTGAATATAGAATTTATGTATGAAATCAAATCACATTTTCTTGGAATAAGAAATAAAGCTGTCCTTTGCAAATTTCAATTAAAAGAAAAGCTACCCAGCAACATTTTTTGTAATTCGACGACGAAAAACATTCCATTTACTCTTAGGAATAATATGTTTCTTTTATCAGGTTCGATTATATATTCTTATTTTCTGAAATTCTAGATAATATATGCTGGTCTATTGGTCATTCTCTATTAGTACACGTTAGTTTTATAGCCGTTGTTCTCCATGGAGTGGTGGAAAAGGTTCGAAGTAACTTGTATAATTTATTGCAATGAATCACTTGTTCCCAAAGATGTGAAAATACAACATTCTTGTCTATGTCATTTCATAGTAATGACTGCGATTAATATGTGTGAGGCCAGTAGTCTCAATCAAAGTTCGTAATATTCTTAGGGACTGGGTCTTTTTCAGCCAGTTCTAGCAATGACCAGCATATGAAAAGGATCACAAAAATTTTCGAATTGTTAAATAAACCTTAGACCATATCGCCCACAGGTGTTTGGTACGAAATCCGAAATAATTACTCTCTTGGGGTTTTATATGTATATGTTGTATGCAACACCATTACGTAAACTTGAACAACGATTTCAATTATTTTTGTTTCTGTTTTGTTTAATTGTAGCTTTTCACCATTTAGTTCTATATGGAGTCTCACATAGCCTTTAGGTGATGTTATTGGCAGTTGACGGTTAAAAATTATAAATTCAAGCGTTGCCAATCCAAAAAAAGCTATACAGACGGTTTGAGTCTGGAGAACAACGATTACGCATTCTCATCATATGCCCCCTAAAATAATTAGGGAATAATAAACTGTCTAAACAAAAGCTCAACAATTACACAAACTGACAACTGGTAGATTGGCAATATTAACACATATAAAATCTTAGCACCTAAACCAGATTATCCTAATCTTCTTTTTGCAACCTTCTACATAATGTTATCCGTACTTTTAATGGTAGTCCTAGGTGCTATCACTTACTGTTATTTGAGAAGGCACTACAGTTATTGGTCAAGAAAAGGGATAACTGGTCCTAGACCTATATTTTTACTAGGCAACATTGCACCCAGCATCACTGGAAAGAAATCCGTTGGAGACATTGTTACCGAGATTTACAAGTAGGTACATATTAATTAGAAATTAGAAAACATTTCACTTATGTAGATTGAATGCACTGTGTGAATTGGAACAGATTTGCAAGAATGCTACTCGCTGAGATGATATTTGATTCCTCATAACCTAGTGACATAATTACAATAAAATAAATGGAGTTATTCTCTTCATGTAGTTTTATGATTTTTTTGTAGTGAATACAAAGGGAACCCCATTGTTGGTTTCTACCGTACAGTGACACCATGTCTATTAGTGAGAGATCTCAACTTGATTAAAGATATCACTGTTAAAGACTTCAAGCATTTTGAAAACAACGATATTCATATAGAGAGAAAATCTGACAGAATTTTTGGATCACATCCGTTTTGCCTCAAGGGGAATGAGTGGAAAAATTGCAGAAAAGAATTGACTCATAGTTTTACATCTGGGAAGGTAAAAACCTTTTTGATCCTGCCATTACTTGAATGTTGGTTCCTAGTATGAGTCTAGAGAAACCTCTGCAGTGCTAGGAAATACCTTACCGCGGTGTTCCGCAATTTAGGCTTCTACCTGCGCGGGTGCTTCGGTATAAAAAAAAGAACTCGCACGTATGTACTTACTCATTTATTTGATGATATGTTTACAGATGAAGCTTATCTTTCCGATGTTGGAAGAGAACGGACAGAAAATGGTGAAATCCATATGTAGCACTACCGTAAATGAAATTTCCGTACTTGAAGCCAAAAAACTTTGTTCAAAGTTCACTTTGGAAAATGTAAATGCTTGCGCTTTTGGAATGGATAGTCAATGCTTCCGAAAAACTGAGCCTATGGATATGCGTATGGCATATGGCCTTGTAAAAACGGGCAGCTGGGGTGTTTATAAATATTTCTTGTCCACGATAATACCTCGAATACACAAAGTGTTGAACATCAGGTGTGTTTCGTCTTCAAGGCTGTCTTTACATTTTTGCTAAATTATAAACACAACGCAACTCATTGCCCTTCCAGGATAGTGAATAGCACCTATGGCAACGAGCTACTTCATATGATTCACGCCTTTATGTCATATAGAGTCAAATCCGGGGTTGTGAGGAACGACTTTTTGGACTCAATGGTGCAACTTAAGGAAAATGCCCCATCCAATGGTTTTGACATACTTGCACTTGGAGCTAATTTCTTCGTTGATGGATATGAGACAAGCTCTACGGTAAGTATAAAGACTTCTCAGTTGTAGTAAAAGCAGACTAGAGTCGCCGAAGTCAAAGGATGATTCCAGTTTTCAAAGTGGAACACAAAATCAGCAATATAAACTTACACCCCACACCACTGGCGAGGAAGTATTCTAATCGCAAAATATTTTAAAATTGATGGTTGTTGTATAACCACTACCTGTCTGTCTATCTGACCAACCCCGATAATTGTACGCATCTACCTGAAATCTTTCACACATAGATTTCCCCGTACATTTGCCCTTAAAACTTAAATAGAGACACATATTTTCAAGACGTGTATCTGGATATGTCTACTGTAGTCTGACTGATGGGCGGCTGCCATGGCAGTCGAACGGCAAAGTTAGTCATAGCAATGTTGCCAGATGGTTAATAATATCGGTAGGCAGGGAAGAAATTTCCAGATCCCAGCGTTAGCAAATACGCAGGGAGCATGGGCTAGTTGTGTAGGCCCGTTTGACTGACTTGTCCATTTAATTTTTTATTGTACATGTTCGTAATCCTTTATGAACAGATTACAGCGTTGTCCAGAACAGTACTGTAATACATGAATACTAGTATTAGCAAATAGGGGTCGGATAGAGCAGGGGAAGATTTGGGAATCTTTCTAGGGGGGAGTGGGACTTTGGCTTTAAATCCCACACTGCGATAAAGATTGTAATATCCAATAATTGAATACGGTTCAGTTGAACTAAATTTGCTACACTTCCTTCTAGGTTGATTTTTAATTACAGGTTATGGCGCTACTGTTGTTTGAGTTAGCTATGCATAAAGAGGTCCAAAACAAGTTACGCTCAGAAATAAGACAAAGTAAAGAACTAAGCGGTGGTAAACTGTCTTGTGAAGTAGTCCAAAGCATGAGATACCTAGATGCTTGCTTTAACGGTAGTATGGTGGATTATACAAAATTCTGTGTTTTGTTGTAGCCTGGTATTTTTCTGCAATACATACTAAAGCTATGAACTTCACTAATCCTCTAACATATTACAGAGAACCTCAGAGTGCACTCGATAGTATCTACATTAGGGAAAACATGTACGAAGTCATACACCTACCACTTGAAGCACAGGAACACTTCAGTCGTCATCGAGAAAGGAACCCCGATTATTATACCTATATCAGCAATACACCATGATCCGCAGTACTTCGAAAACCCGATTCACTTTTGCCCAGAGAGATTCCTTGAGAAGAAAACCTTACAGAAATACACGTTCATGCCATTTGGCGAGGGACCCCGTTCTTGCTTAGGTAATACTTAAGTCTCACCTTTAACCCGCCTAACAGGATCATAGGCGTCTAGATGTGCCACTACGTTCTTAAGAGAACATTCTAAGAATTTTAGTTGAAAGTTTAACAAGCCCTTTTTAAACTCGCTGTTATGATAATGCAACTCAGACTCAGTACGTATATATCTATGAAAATCATAGTTTATGATATGTAAAATATTTACTTTTACAACTTACTGCTCCTATCATTATTTTCAGGAAAAAGGTTCGGAGTACTCCAAATTAAAGTAGGAGTGATAGACATCATCAGCAATTTTGAGTTGAGCGTTAATGAGAAAACAGAGCTTCCGCTGAAGTACAATCCATGGTTTTTTGTAGTAGCACCGACAAAAGGCATATGGATAAACGCCAAGAAAATTTTAGAATAACAGGGTCATGGATTTTTAGTTGTAGCTATAGAAACTGTTATGATCATTACACGCCACTTTAATAATTGTAGTTTTTATCTTCTATAACGTGGAATCTTTTGAAAATGTTTGTTATCGGATCTTGTAAAAATAAATGGTTTTTTATAAAACGCTAAACGTTACAACACAATAGAATAACTGCTTGTCATTCCATTTGGGACAACGCATTGGTGCACCGTCATTACAATGTGAACTGATGCTTTTGTTGTGATTGCTACCAATTCATTTTTAAAAATAACATTATATAAACATATTATAAGCATTTCGATACGTCGGGCTCCAATGAGTTAAACCAACAACTCGTACAAACTAGCACAAAAGTGCATATTGATGAGCGTTATGTTTATCAAGAAAGTCAAGTTGGTAACTAGTTATGCAATGACGTATTTATTCATTAGAAGGCCAGCCACCAAGAGGCGTGTAAAAAGTTTGAATATTTGCAGGACTGCAGTGTTGCCTTGAACCTCACTTAATGAGCGACATAACAAGTGAATTATGCTAACCAGTAGCGTACATTCAAAGTGATTCCACTATTCCGTGCACCTGCATCCCCAGTTACACGTATTGGGTATACTGGGTATTGATACACTAACCCAGTGATTCCCAAAGTGTGGGCGCCGAGAAATATTCAATTGATTCAATTATACTATTCGGCAGTTTTCTTGGAATTCCCATCTTTCAATCTTTGCGCCAACAATCTTGAACACAGGAAGTCAAAAATTTAGAAAAAATTTGATGTATTAAGGGCGCCGCGGAAAAAAACCGATTATTCAGGGAGCCGCAAACCGAAAAAGAATTGGGAACCTCTGCACTACCCATTTTTTGGAGCAAGCGTGGGAGACAACAAAGAGCCTCCATACCTGTGCTTACTCAACACAAAAAGGGTGTCAAAATAGTTAATAATTTACCGGAAAACATATGTCTAAAAAAACGTCAAGGCCGTCGTGTGCTAAATTTCAACGAGGAATTCAACGGTAACCTTGTCGATTATTATTCCGATGACCTTGAAGGTTATTTCAAGGTAACCTTTGTTTTCATAAATGGAAACCTTCCTTTTGGAGGCCGGTAGTCGAAAGAGCGGAAAATTACTCGTACATTCGGAAATGTATTCAGACCCCAGGTCAGGCGTGGCCTTGATGAACAGACGATGGTGATTTGAATAGTCCAGACGGCTATTGAAAATCGTGAACTTAAAAAAAATAATGTAAGCTCATTCTTGTAGTAACATTCAACAAGGTGACCTTGCCGATGACATTGAAGGTCATCTTTGTTGCTCTAAATAGAATCCTTATCTTTAAACATCCCTGATCGAAAAAGCGGAGGAGTTTACGTTTACAATTATATGTAAGTCATAGTTACAGTATGAGCTTGACGTCCACGCGAGGTCACTTTAACGGCAAGGTCCAGATAGCTACAAGAACTGACGGGAAATAGTTATTATATCTATCTAATCTTTATCCCTCTTCCTGGAAGAATGCTCTTGTTCTCCCTCTGCCTAAATCTAATTATCCTTCAAGTTTTTCTGATCTTCGTCCTATAAGCATTTTACCAAGTTTATCTAAGCTTTTGGAAATGGCTCTACATGAGCAGCTGCACACATTTGTTTGTCAAAATAATTTACTGACCACCTCCCAATCTGGCTTCAGACCATTACATAGCACCACCACTGCGCTCCTGTCTATATCGGATAATATTTATAGCGCGGTTGATCAAGGAAAGCTGTCCTGCTTAGTTCTTCTTGATTTTAGCAAGGCCTTCGATACGTTTGACCCAAATATTCTCTGTAAAAAGCTTAGATACTTTGGCCTGTCATCATCGGCTTGCACGCTGATTAAGAGCTTTTTAACTGATCGCTCACAGTCTGTCATATATGAAAACAATATATCAACTTCTTTATTCAGAAATTTTGGTGTCCCTCAAGGATCTATTTTGAGTCCCCTTTTATTTGCTCTTTATATATGTGATTTTCATGAAACCGCCAGCAACTCAATCGTTCATCATTACGCCGATGATACCCAACTTTATAACTGCTTCGATCCTGATGAATATATGCTTGGCCAACATCAAATAAATCAAGACCTGCAGTCTATTTTTGACATATCTAGTGCTCACAATCTAAAACTAAATCCTGGCAAATCATGCTGCATTTTATTTGGGCCCAAAAAGAATCGTGAAATAAATCAATATCGCATTAATATTATGGTGAATAATGAAGACATGTCCTTCGTAAACGAATGCAAAAACCTTGGTATCTGGTTTGACTGCAAGCTACGCTTCACTAAACATGTTAACCAACTATGCAATGCGTCCTATAATGTGCTTCGTCAGTTATATCCGAGTCGAAGCGTCCTGTCGACACAGCTCAAGCTTAAACTCTGCGAGTCCCTTATCCTGTCAAAATTATCTTACGGTGACTCTGTTTATGGACCTGCTCTTTTACAACATGATGCCGAGCGGATTCAGATGATACAAAACCCATGCATCAGATTTTTTTATGGAATCCGTAAATTTGATCATATTAGTAGCGCTTTTGACCAATCGGGATGGTTTAAGATGAACAAATTGAGGAAACTGCATTGCCTATCTCTGGTACATAAGACCCTTATCCTTAAAGCGCCATATTATCTTTATACAAAACTAAGCCTCCTCTGCCAGTACGATCAAAGATCCTCTAGGAATAAACTCATTTTACTTATCCCGCGGCATTCGACAGCATTGTTCACACGCAGTTTCTCGTACTGGGCACCCAAACTATATAACTGCTTATCAAGTGAGTATAAAGAATATAGCCTAAGCAATTTTAAAAAAAGGTTAAAGATGAGTTTAAAGCAGTCGGATGGCTAAAATTTTACTTTATGCATATCCACAGGTAATTGATTGTTTCCTTTCTCTGATAAGTGTTATATTCTAAGTTTTTTTTTTCTCTCTCTATAGTTTGTGTCAATGTTTTCCAGGTCGGGTTGAAAAACAGCATAAGGTGACACTCCACCTTTTCGTCACTGTTCCTTTTAAACCAATTATTTTGTAATCGTGTGACGAATAAAGGCCATTTATTTATTATTATTTATTTATCTACCTATTTGCTTGTACAAGTTTACTAGTGATCTTGTATTCGACGTGGCCAAAGCTATTCATGTTCTTTTCGAGCTTAACGGTTAAACCTTGCTAGCTGAGGCAAGAGGACGATAATCAAGTACCCTAAAGAAATCAGAATTTACTAGGTACACGTGAATGTTCCTGGATAACGCTGAAAGTAAATTTTCTATATTATATACAAAAAACCTAAGACCTCATGGAATTCCTTGTTAAAAGTTACAACAAGTAGGATCCGTGATACTGACGAGATAACTGGATCGTGAAAAAGCTTAAGTAACACATTACCTAAGACTTGAATAAATTTTTAACTTAAAATTTCTCGCTATTTTTTTCTCTGAGATCAAAACGGAAGATGTCCATTCAAAAAGGTAACCTCAAGATAGCTATCATTAAATTCCTTATTAATAACTACTTTAAAAAAAATGTCTGCGACTCTTAAGAACTATTTGGACCTTAATAAGGCTTAAATGATCTTCATGTGGTCATTGAAGACATGCTTGTCCCACAACCTTTTGAAAATATAAAAATGACCTTCGTCGTTATCGGCAAGTCCAATGTTGAACTTCTCGTTGAAAGTTACAAAAAATGAATGAATGGTGCAAATTTGTTAGTATACCATGTTTGCGCATCTTTTTTATCTATAAATTTGCAAATATATTGAAAAATTTCCGTATAAAATTCCGGCCTTGCTTAGAAAAATATAAATTTGTCTTGAAAATATTTCAAATTTAATTGTACTAAAGCGGTCGACGAAACCCTGTGATGATCCCCTTTTTGTGCAACCCTGCGTGAGTCATCAGTATCTCAGTTGTATTATTTGTTGTTGTTTTGCTGTATCATGTTTAGCTTGTAGTTGGAATTGCACTATATAATCAAGAGCCACTCCGCCAGTGATAGTACGACACAAATAAATAACAAACATTTGATCACATTTAATTTTCTATCCTGTGTAACTGCATAACTGCGTATTACAAGACTCATTGTTAGTAGTAAACATGATAACTGTGCTAGTAGGTATAGTATTGGTAGTGGTTGTGTTTTGGTTAAAAAGCACTTATTCGTATTGGACGAGAAAATGCGTACCAGGACCTGAGCCAAGATGGATAGTGGGCAATTTTGGAGCAAACGTTATCAGACAAAAATCTTTGGGGGATATTGTAACAGAGCTATACAGGTAACAGAAACATTGTTTCGAGAAACAGCTGTTTAGAGCTTCGAACTACTTTCCACCTTCAAACGTCCTTATCTTTTGTAAAACCGGCGAGAGATCTGTTCTCATGTCTATGGGGCTACTACTGTAACATCTGAAACTTATAATGCGGTTTGGCTACTGATTATTCTCAGTATTTGCTGGCCTTCGACTGAGCTTTTACTAACGTATCCGGCACTTCGCTGACCTTTTTCGAAAGCCACTGTAACCTTTTTGATATGCACGTTGAAAAGGGCTACCGAGGTGACTGAAACTTAAAAAAAACAAACCTACTCACGTGGTTCGGTTTAACAGCCAGAAAACATGGAGTACTATGAACCTATGATTCGGGATGTATGTGGTTTACCGTTTTTAGGTTAAAGCATAAACTACAACTTTCATACGTTAGAAAGATTTTGTTGGAAATGTTCATCATATTCAAGTTTTTTAGGTTTCTATCATTAGATGCGAAAAATTGATTAAGGATTTGTCGGATATCACCTTCGTTTTTGAAGTTTCGACTCTACGAAAATAGATGATAGTCGGAGGATGCTAGATCTAGAGGGTCTGAGAAATGTGATGCTGTTTTTCGCCGATTTTTTGACGGGTCCCCAAAGCAGTACGTGATCTTGCGTTGCCATAGGGTAGTTTATTATTCTTTGTACAAGACATTGCTACCCTTTTTTTTTGGAGTGTTGTTTATATTTACTTGCAGACAATGTCTGTACGAGTTTAGCTTTGCATTCGATTTCAGCATCCTGTAATGTCTTAGAATGCTGAATAATATACACAATGTTAAGTTCCAGAGGCTCAAATTCGATGTAGAGGTGCAGGTAGGTTATCTTGGTTCACAGTACGTTCTCTTTATACATTTTCACAGTTGTTCCACTTTGCATCCACTGTTATAAGCTGACCCAAAAAGATTATGCATATGCGCATATCATGAATCTGCCATTCAAGGTCTTATCACTTATCTCGTCTGGCGCCCATAATAAATATTTCTAAGATAATTATATGTTAGTTTACAAAAGTGTTCCCGCATAGCCTGTTCAACTGAATCGAGCCTTAATACGGTACTTGGGGTTTCTCAACGGCCACTGTAGACTGAACAGGTACCTTATAAAGGTGAAAAGAAACCCAACATGCCCCAATTGCTTAGAGAAGGACGAAACAGCGTTCCACTTCCTGTGCTATTGCCCCGTATATTGCGGTGTAAGGGCTAAGATATTCGGGGTCACAAAACTTGTTGGTGGGGTTGCTTATTCAGTGGATTGGTCGGACATCGTGGCCTTTATTATTAAGTCAGGAAGGTTCGACATTTCGGTGAATCAACATGTGGAGGAGAGTGTTGGTACATTCGGGGGCGGCAAAAAGGGCCAACAATCGCCTACTTGGCTTCGCCTCCCCACCACTACTACTACTATCACTAATACGTGACTGAAAAAGAAACACTTACTAATGGTGATTTACGACAATGTTTCTTCAGGTATATGTTCGTTTGCTTAGGACAGAAGGCGGTAAGCTTTTCAACCATATCGACAAAGGTTGTTGTGATATTGCCTGGTCTTACAAAAAAGGTAAGTAAGTGATTGTTGCGCTTTGTAACTACAATTGGCATTTAATCATCGTACGATACAGCGCAAAGAGTTGCTCCAGTCAGTTCATTAGGGCTAGGTTGAGCAGATGAGAAAATGTTCAAGACATGTCAGAAGTACATGGCCCCACACCAAGATCGTCGCCTTAAGCTCTTGGCTCTACGGTACCTTTTCTCATTTACATGGACAATTGGACATTGAATAGCTTTGGACCTACTTCATACCGTACTCAGTTCGTTCTACCTCTCACTCCGAGACACCGAGTTGTCGACTGGATTGGTGTAGAGAACAGTTTTTTTTTTTTAAGAAACCTGTATTCAAAAGTCATTTTTTACAAATTTTATATAAAAAGTAGTTCTCTAATCTGTATTTAAAACACTGACATTGAAAACAACAATATTTAAAGTGCAAATTTTAGCAACAATAAATTTAACAATTCCAGTGACTTTGTGCCAAGAGAAATGCACTATAAACATTTATTTTACTTTGTGTAGTTAATTAGTATCTGCTTCAGTACAAAGCAGCTACCATCGACGTTGTTTTATCAAAAAAAATTCAATTCAAATTCTCATCGCTAAATAATTAAACCCAGATATTTGATACTTGATACCTTTTCTACTTCAACATTTATTTTTAGACAGAAGTGTTGAACTATTTTATTATTCTGTTTGAAAATTATTTGTTTTATCGATGTTGATCTTTAGTTCATTTGAATACCGCTATTTACAGTAAAGAACAAAATTTAAATTAACTTCGTGACGCAGAGCCTGCTTATGATTTCCTTTATAGAGAAGAACTGCGTCGTCAGCAAAAGTAAAATACCTTGTATTAAGACTAGCACTCTTTAGATTTAGAACATATAGAGAATATAATAGTTGCTCCAAGTCTGACCCCAGGAGGATATCAAAGTCACTAGATAACCACTCACTATTTGTTTCACCAATTTTCACATATTGTTTTCTGTTAAGTTTTAATCAAATTGTACATAGTATAACTAGTACCACAAATGTGACGCCATCTTTAGTGATGAATCCAGATTCTGTTTGGAGATGAGCGTAGTGAGGCTATTTTATATAGGACAAAATATTTAGGAGAACCTAAAACTTGTTTTTGACTTTTTAAACTGCGTGATCATCAGAGTGTAGTCAGAAAGATCATGAAATATCCAGAATGTTTGTATTTGTACATGGATTATTTACTACATATGAGGCATTTACAAAGTTTAGCTATTATGCACAGGCACAGTTGTTGGTTACATTAGCTTGTCTTGATTACTTTATTTTGTACCATTATACGAGTATAATTGGTGCTTCTCTCTCAAATAAAGCAAATTATAACTTTGTTTACTGTCAGTTGTTATTTGTTGCGTACACGACTTTGAATAATTATGTAAGGATAAATATGAGTGAAACTAATTACCGAGATAACAGCAGAATAGATATCAAAAACTCGCCTCTTCTGTAAAACTACCAGTGGTCCGAATATGCATTATGCAGTATTTGTTCATTTTTATTATAAAATTAAATGTAGAATGACGTAAAATAACAATCTTTTGCAGGAAATATGATGGCCACAAAATAGTTGGCATCTACAGAATGCTGACGCCATGCCTCCTGATTAGGGATGTCGACGTTGTCAAAACTATGACAATCAAAGATTTTACCAATTTTCACGATAATGATATATATATGGACCAGAGCTCAGACCTTATATTTGGAGGAAATCCGTTCGTATTAAAAGGCGAAGACTGGAAAGAAAAGAGGACTCAGATAACAAATGCGTTCACATCAGGAAAGGTAACTGCATTCAAGAAGCATACTTGAAATACAATCACTTGGTTTGATCTAACATATGGTCTTATAGTATTAGCAAATTTCCTTGGAAAAATTCAATTAAAAACATCGATCGTAAAGAATCCGTAGATTAGATCCTTAGGTACTTAATGGGCCTACAAGATGGGACCACACATTAAAAGATCAAATGCACCAAGATGCTGGTTTGGCACTTTTGTGGTAATACGACCGTAGTGTCATACATATACTTGCATTTTTGTCTAACTAACCACAATAAATAGGCGATCGGTCCAGTATTATTTAACATTTCCTAATTGTTCATCCCAAAACACCAGGGAAAATTTCCTCACCGACATGAATCAAAACCCATTTCGCTAGCTGATGTTATTTTTATGCGGAAAACAAATGGGCGCCTTTCTTTCTTTTACAATAATTCAAACGTTTCTTTCTTTTCACTAACTTGATTGTGATTCAAACGTTTTGCGCATGTGGCATTGTTTCTCTGTTGCTCTCGTCATGATTGTAGACAACACCAATTTTGAGAGCTCTGACAAATTGCAAGCAGAAATATTGAGCCGTATTCATAAAAAAGAAGCATATCGTCGGAATCATAAGGTAAAAGTATAATGTCTTGCTTCGGAGAAAAAGATAGAAGTAAAAGGTTAACTGGTATTTGTATCTTGAGCGACACGTCCGGACTTGTTCCAGCTTGTAGTTGACGTGGGAGTTCGTTCACTCAGCATCACTGACAGTTATACTCCAGAGCTTACCCAGACCGTTCCGTGTTTTGACTGGATACAGTTTTTTTCAAATGAATAAGCATGTCATCCTCAAGTGATCAGAAAACTATAGAAAATAATGTCAACGACCTGCAGTTCATCGCAGATGAAATTGCCATTGCTCCCATTTTTTGCAAATGTCACAAGTTCCAAAAATAAAAATGAGAAATGACGATGCCTTGAAAAAGATGTTGAAAAATACGAATCAACATTCGGTAAACCATTAGATACTAAGGGATTATTAAAAAAATCAATAATATGAAATCAAGGTTTAAGAAAAAAACAGATCTAAAAAAAACTGGTAATAAAGCAATTAAATTGTTAGATTGGAAAAGAAAGTTGCTGAAAGTTATGGAAGGTGACTGTAATCGTACAATTGGGAAAGTTAGAGGTGCCATTGGTAGTGTTCAAGAAGAAGGAAGTGAACTATATACCGAGTGCAGTGAGCAAATTTCAGAAGACATTGCCACCAAAAAGAAAATTAGCAACAGAGAAATACGAAACTAAGGAAACTAAAGGGTTAGCTACAAAAGAACTGCAACGTCTAGTGCTATTATAGCAGTACCAAACAAGTATTTTACAACAGGAATATTATGAAACGAAAGTAGAAATGATGGAGCATCAGAAGCCACCTGTAACTTATGATGTTCACGTAAATAAAACTTATTATAAATTATAAATACACTTTAATCAGTAAAACTATTTATTATAATACTCAAGCTTCTTCTTATTTGTTGACCTAGTTGGCGGAGAGGAAGTTTCGCCATTCTCATGATTTCCTTCATCTTCATCTGGGTCTTATTCAACTAACTTTCAAAGTCAGGATCGCCCAAGCTCTTAGCCACATTATGGAGTACAATACAAGCAATTATTATTTTTGGCACATTTGCCAACTTTACGCGGCAAACATACTGTAGGGTAGGAAACCGGCATTTCAGTTGGCCGAAGCAGCGTTCAGTTATAACTCTTTCTTGTTTTAAAAGCTTATTATAATTTATTTCTGCACCTGGAGTAGGATTTCTGAAGGGAGTCATAAGGCATGGCTCAATACCATAACCGTCACCCTCAAGTAGTACAACATCTCATTTTTCTTCTCTAGTTTGAGAGGCATTTTAGAATAAATTGACCAAATTCATTGGATCCATTACATCAATGACGTCATCTTATTCGTCCAATTTGTGCCAATAGCGCAAATACTGATTCTCGCCGTTCAATAGTAAAGTCGGGCCTCAGGTGCATAAAAATCTTATGTAAAGGCTATCTCATTCATGCTAACGCCTTCCATAGAGGACTGGAACCTACTTCAATTTCCATTTTCTAGATTAAAGCTATGTTTGCCAGTATGACAAAAGGTGCAAAGCAAATGATAGAGTACCTAAACAAGACTGTTGGAGATGAAGGCAAAACATTCGAGACCATAGATTTCAGCAGCAACTACACTTTAGAGACAGTGCTTATCTGCGCTTATGGAATTGAAGTGAAGGTGTTTGAAGAACCTGACTCAAAGTTTGTTCAAATGGGAAAGAAACTTCTACAACCTAAGCCCTTAGAAGCATTCTTCTTCTATGTGTCCATGCTGTATCCAAAGATAACCAAGTTGTTAAAGATCAGGTAGGTTACAAGAGTAGTTGAAATTCGTAGTTTAGGCAGCCTTGTAAGGTATTGCCGATCTTACATTCCAAATCGTTATCTCATTTTTCGTACAACTTTATAAGATGGTGTTACTGCTAGCTTGAAAATTGCAGATTTAGCAATCAAGGAACCAGCGAACAGGTATTTGAAATGATTAAAGCCGCATTTGACTACAGAGATAAAAACAATTTGGAAAGCAAAGACTTCTTGGGAAATTTAGCGCCCTTGAGAGCAGTTTTTGGCGAGAAGAGTGTGCTAGCATTAGCTGCAGCTTTCTTTGTGGATGGACAAGCTACAACTGGTTTGGTAGGTGGAACATAATTAAATCTAGTTTTTTTCAAATATGTTAAGGTTAGGCGACCATCACTCAAAATCGGTCCCTAAGTAAATTATGATGTGCTAAAGTTTCAACTGTGCTTCCGGCGAATAGCAAGCAACGTTTTTAAATTAATTCTTTTGCGTTTTTGAACCAATTTGAAAAGAATGCAAAATCTGAATAATTTCAACGCCTTCCAAAGGTTACAAGGTGGTTCAGGTGAAGTTTAAATATTTCTTCTGGCGACTATCTTAGGGAGCACTTTTCGGAATCACTTCAGTATTTTATGTGCTTTCAGTGTATTATTGAGGTATCTGTTTACATTTTAGGCTATGGGTGGCATTCTATACGACCTTGCAAAGAACCCCGAAGTACAACAAAAATTGAGGGAAGAACTGAATGAGTATTTTGAGAAAGACAAAGGTCAGCTGTCTTATGAGAGTATACAAGAAATGCCGTACCTTGATGCTTGTTTCAAAGGTAATGAATTATATATATAAGATGAATTGTGTAAAGCTTAAACTTCAATAAAGTCCTAGCATTTTTTCTCAACCATCCTTATTTTACAAAGAATTTTTAACATAAACATGTGTTTAGCATGTTCTGCTCATGTAGACAAAACATGTACTCTTTCTACAAATTTCTACAAAATTGAATGTAAATATTTCATTATAACGGATTAAACCTTAGGAGGCTTGACATTCTGAAATTTTTGAAACCACGAGAGCTCAAAGCGGGAACTTTTTGGATTTTGGATTTTTCAAGGAACCCCTAAAGCTCTATAATTTTTATTTCACCCATAATCTTATGCATAACGGCCAAATATGTTCTATTGCCTAGGGGAGACAACACAATTTTTGCTTTTGCTTGCAGAATCTCTAAGGATGCAGCCTGTGCTAGGATTCCTAACGAAGGTATGTACAAAAACATACACCTACACTCCACCAGATGAAAGTCACCCTCCAATTGTTATTGAAAAAGGAACGCCTATTCTGCTTCCCATACATGCTATTCACAACGATCCACAGTATTTCGACGAACCTTCGAAGTATATACCAGAGAGATTCATGGACAAGGAGATGGCCAATACGAAGTACTTCATGGGCTTTGGCAATGGGCCTAGGGCGTGCATAGGTAACTAGATTGCAAGCCTAGATTGTATTCCAGAATCTACGTTAGACCGCGAATATTGTACTGTTTGTGTTAATGTCTGAGATGTTTGTTGTGCCTTTTTAGCAAGAAGATTCTATTACCCTAATTAGTTATTGAATATTGACAACAAAATCATACAATTCTTATTTGATTTGAAATCTCGTCGAGGACAGTACTCCATTTCAAGGTTCATTCTAATTGTATACCGAAACCTTCCAAATAGTTTTAAGCAAAACAACTTAACACAAAAGTATTGACGCTGCTAGGGCTATGATTCATATACGATGCGGCGTGTTTCAAATATCGCTGCACCATAGACTGTAAATCTTAATTCAGATCAGTTGAGTTGAGTAAGTGTTCAGATTGTCCGCATTACATTTGAAAACTTCCTACCACGAATTTCTCGAAAACCACTGATTAAAAGAAAAAACGCCGAGACACGTCAAAATCTATGTCAAGGGAAACTTTTTAAACAAAAACTACTTCACACCCTTTCACCCTCGACCACCCCGGTTATTCTCTTAAAAATTTTGAGAGAAAAGGGGTATCGAGTAATATCTTGTTTGAAAGGTTTTTCGAAGTCCTTTACTTTGACGTTTGATTTTTTTTAAATTTGTCAAGATAGAAAACAAGGACACACGAAAATATCACTTTTGATTTCAATAATCTAAAATAAGAAACGGATTTGTTAATATGCATAACTACAGGTATGAAAATCCTCATGCTTTTGCAGAAGGGCATAATAATAATAATAATAATAATAATAATAATAATAATAATAATAATGATAATAATAATTTATTAGTCCTGTATGATGACAGATGTGATATAGGATAAGACAGTCAGAGCGCTACTAAAGCTAATAACAAATTATGTTAGTCTGGACGCACACACATTCGTACCACATATGGCTTATTCCAAATATGGATACAAATAAATCAAATTAGCGTATATATAAAAATTATGAATATATATGTATATATAAAAAAGCGAAATAAAGGACAAACCATTTAGTGACATTTAAACAACAATGATTAAAATCAAACAAGACATTCACACATTAAAAATTCCTCAATAGAGTAAAAAGCTTTTTCCAGTAAAAACTGTTTAACTGTTCTCTTAAAAGTATTCAGCGGTTGTGATTTCAAATTGTTGGGGAGTCTGTTGAAAAACTTAATAGCCATGTATCTAGGGCTCTCCTCCGTTCTCGCCAATCTATGCGACGGCACCTCCAATACTTGACTGTTCCTTGTAAAGTAAGCACCAGTGCTTACAGAATTGAACACGCTAATTGTGTTTTAGCAAGGATAAGTATATTGAGTATACAAACAGATGGTAATATTAAAATCTTTAATGTTCTAAATGAATCCTTGCAGCTAGTGAGCCTTCCAATTTTAGCTATTACTCGAACAGCCTTTTTTGCAACACAAAAAGTCTTTGCAGCTGAGACGACGCTGTCCATGCTTCTATTCCATAAATTAGGACTGAATGGTAAAATATCAGTAATACCCACTTCTCCACAACAAAACTTAACTGGTATAGACAGTAACAGGGTAGGGCGATCTTTTGGCTACTTTTCTCAATATGCGTATCCCATCTACAATTTTGAGATATATACTTTCTGAACATTTAGTCGAATCCACTTGTTTTATTGATTTGCCAAACGATTTTATTAATAAAGTGTCATCCATCGGTGACGTAGAAACATTAAGTTTAAGGTAAACAGATTTCTGATTATTTAAGACGAGCCCATTATTGCTGAACCACTTACCTGCACCAGTCAAGCTTGAATTGGCAAGTCCTAAACTGATTCTAGGTTTTTACCATTAAGAAGTAAAGAAGTGTCATCAGCATACATTACTGAGCAATCGGAGGGGAGAAGTCATTGACATACATTATGTATAAGAGAGGACCAAGTATGGAACCCTGTGGAACACCAGTATGGTAAAAATGTTTGCTGGACTGTGCATTTTGTACCTCGACATGATGCTTTATATCGGACAGATAGCTGTGGAACCAGCCAAATGGCTTCCCTCTGATTCCATACCTATCCATTTTATCTAGCAGAATAGCATGGTCAACCAAGTCAAAAGTTTTGCTTAAATCAAGAAATATACCTATACATTTTTCTCCTTTATCCATCTTGAGATACAAATCATCTAGGAAACGAAGTACGGCATTTTTGGTGGACATGCCTTTTGTAAATCCAAACTGATTACTATTAAATAATTTGAACCTGTCAAAGAAATTGATGAGTTGCAGAGAGACATTTTTCTCGAACACCTTCGAGAAGGGACTACGAAGTGAGATAAGTCTGAAGTTACACATATCAAACCTATCTCCAGACTTGAAACAGCGGCCTAATTTTTGCAACCTTAAGTTTGTCGGGAAAAATCCCTTCTTCGATGGAGCAGTTAATTAAAAAAGCAAGAGGATGGCAAACGATGTCAGATGAAAATTTTAACATATTAGTGATAATTCTGTCTGCGCCAAAAGAATTAGAACCTTTAAGATTTTTTAAAATAGCTGATATGTCATTTGCTACAGCAGGTCAGAGATAAAATGAATGAATGTTCCTATCTATATTAATAGTACTTTGTCCCACTTTGTTATCTATGTTTAGGTGTGTAATACTATTAAAATGTTGCATAGATTTATCGGCCACCTCTTTTGGTTCTGTCATCTTTCACTTTTAATTTAATGACTTTATGTCTAGATGCATTTTTATTCTGTTTTATCACATTTAATTACGGTCCTCGTTTGATTATTAGAATTTGATATCAATGCATTATAGTGTAAACGTTTTGCTGCTCTTAAAACTCTAGAATATACTTTCTTATATTTCATATAATGGTCCTTCAGAAATATGTCTCCAGACCTAGACAGATCTTACAGGTAGTGCAGTTTATCTCTGTATTGATACACCTTTTGTTACCCATGGTTTTCTGGCTTTACATGTTTCAATAGTTTTTTGTATTATATTATCAATATAATACTCATATGTTTGTAAGGAAGCATCAAATTTCTTATTTATATTTCCAGTCGAATGGTAAATATGATCCCATGTCTCTTGACTTAGAAGAGCTAGAAAGACGTCTATGTTAGCTTTATTGTGTATGTCTCGGTATTGGTAGGATATTGTCGGTGGTTGCTTTTCTTTTCGGCAGTTCAATAAAAATAATTGAGCAAAGTGATCACTAATATTGTTGTTTACCTCAGCAGTTTCACACTCTACATCCACTCCCACACAAATATTGTCGATACAATTAGAGCCTTGCGTAGGTTGTTTAATGATTGGCTTTCCCAAGTAGCCCCAAGACATTAACGTATGGGCAGGCATTTCAGGAAACAAAGTGATTGGCCATTGTTTATTAATGGAAATTTGAGTGGAAACATTTATTTGGATATGTTGGAAAATACCACCAATACGCGTATCAATGAAACCATTGGAAACCAAATCGAAGAGAATGGAAACCCTATACTTGATGAGGCGGAAATATATTTCCAACAAGATGGCGCTCCTCCTGACAATGTTCTTCCGGTTCAGCAATGGCTAGACGACGAACTTCCAGATAAATAGATAGGGCGAATAGGTCCTATAAAATCACCTGGTAGATCTCCTCATTTGACGCCATTAGACTTTTTTCTATGGGGCCATTTTAAATCTATTGTGCTTGCTCCTTAACTTGAAGGTTTGGATGAACTTCGTCAACGCATCATCGAAAGCTGCCATGATATCCCACAACATGTTTTTCAAAATGGGCAACATTTCGAACATTTATTGAAATGAAAAATTATATTTTCGTATGTTTTTGTTTTCTATCTGAACAAATTAAGGTAAATAAAGATTTTTCTTGAACACGAATCGACCGATTTAGAAAAATAAAATGTCAAAATGAAGGACTCTGAAAGACCTTTCAAACAAGCTATTTCACAATACCCCTTGTCATTTCAAATTTTTAAGGGGATGACGCTGGTGGGAGGGGGTGAGAGGGGGTGAAGTAGTTTTTGGTTAAAAAGTTGTCCCCCTTGACAAACATTTTGACGCGTCTTGACGTTTTTTCGAAGTTTTCAAATGAAAACGAACAACCCAAGTAATCGAACAACATTTTATTGTGTTTAGTTTACGAATAGATGTAGAAATCTAGGCAGCAGCGGTTGCATAGTGGTAGACGTCATGGGTCAGCTCGAGTTCCGTCCCAAAAGAATTTCCCTCTTAACTATGGATGTTGTGATTATCCATAGGTGGTAGACAGTCTCTAAATCGGTTGGTACCACTTGGCGTATTTTATCATTAATATTCACATTTCTTCCTTCAGCATCCTAAGTTTTGGAATAAAAATCTCATCCAACACGCTCTTTTAGTAGAAAAATTTGAATAACTTCTAATGCATATACCAAATCGCAGGTAACCTTCCATCAACAATGTTTATATTAAATTCTTCAATTCCCGTTTTCCACCTACCACAAGGCTGAGAAAATCTTATTGTGCCTTCTCCTACATTTTCTCAAAATTGCAACTTCCATGAAATCTAAGGTACTTATTACTTGTTTCAGGAAGGAGATTTGGTTCTACGCAGGTCAAGACTGGGGTAGCATATTTGATCCACAACTACGAACTGTCTCTGAACCCCAACATTAAACTGTCAAAAATAGATCCCTGGGAGTTTTTCTCGGTGCCTAAGGACGGTTTTCGAGTGGACTTCAGGAAACTGAAAAAATAATACTAGAGGAAGGGAAGAGAGTTTTGCTCTCTACAAGCAATTATTGTTACCATTACGAGATGCATACATATATTTTTATTTTGTTATTGTTCAACCAGTTATTGTTGTAGAGTTTACTGTAGGAAAAGAAATAATTTACAAGGTATACATTCCAATAAAAGATAAACTGATCTAGTTAAAGAAGTCTACTGCGTTTAAAAATATTGTAAAGCATTATTTTAAATAAAGTTATTCCATATTGATGGCAGTGATGAACAATTTTACTCCCACTAGGCAACGCTTGTGTTGTTGGAGGTCAAAATGTCAAAGATCGATTTAACAGAACTGTAACCTATTTTCCACGACTTCATCGCTGTATGTTGTCTAATGACAAGAGCTGTTGGTCAACAACTTTCGTCGCTGTCTGTGTATGACCTTAGACGAGACCTCCAACCTAACCAACGCCATTACTTGCCAGCTATTTCGATAGCTATTCTAGTCGATGACAATTTCTTAATGCTCAGAATATGTCTTCCGCTGATCGACTGACCCTCAATGATCTGATACTGATACTCTTAATTGCCTCTTATGAGCACTTTTTCATGATGCTGCCGTAAATTTAACCTGCTCATCCACCAAAATCATCTCGTTTAAGTTGTACTAAGCTGTGCTCAAGGTCATGCTGTATATGTCGACAATGTTGAATAGAAGGATGTTCTTGCTTATACTTTTTTTGGGCTTCGTAAGAAAGCTCTAGTATTAA